TAATTTCAATACGATATTCTTGGTTTAAAGTTATTTATTTATTTCAAATGGCGGGGGTTTCGATAGCTATCATTAGCCCTTTAATTGACTTCGGGCTTCACAGAGGGAAGGTTCATCAAAGTAGCAGAAAGTCGAGGGTTGGGGAACAGAAGAGCGATTCACAGATGTAAAAGAGGCAGACACAAAGGCAGAGGAAAGGGTAAGATGAGTATTGTGGAAGCGGTCGAATATGACAAGCAGTCGTGCCATGGTATTTTGAAGTCAGAAGTCAACTGCCGGTTAAGACTTTTTTGCCGTTTGAGTATACGTTGCCCAGGGTGCACCACGTGGAGGTAAGTCTATCGCACACCCTTCTTGGTTTAAAGTAGGAGTCGTCCTCTTCATTTGTACGATTACAATGATTTTCATGTGTTTTTTTTTATCTGAGAGTTCTAATTATCACGAGTTAGTCTTCACGGTTTAGCCTGCATCGGTAAGCATGATGTCAACTTGGGTCTTCCGGTGAGGACATCTGTCTTCTGTTCACTTGGTTCTTTACTTCCACTCCGCGTGCCTATTTCTCGATCACATCGACTGTAGACCTTGTATTCTCCTTCGGACATTTTTGCATTTCAATGTCGTAAATAGGTATTAAAATTGCATTTTACTTTTATGGGAATCGTGAGATTGTAGACCCATCTAGGACTAAATCAACTTTCATTTAGTTCTTATTTCACCGCCTAATGCTGGGGGATTTCCCGTTTACTTAGCACCCGCTTTTTCTTCCTTCCACGCAGTCATGTGATTATAAATATCGCACATGGTCGAAGGAAGTTAACTTTTTCTACCTATCTTTGTATCCCATGATTCAGTTTCACTTCGAAATTAGAAGGCAACTCGCTTCCATTGCTGCTGTTATACTCTTGCATTTTTAAGAGCGTGAGAAGTGTACAAAATTAACCGGTTGCTATTCCCGTAATGTTATTTGTTCCAATCTCCCCAATACGACTTTTGGTCGTTTTCCATTACGAAAAAAAGTTGATTATATCCTTTCCTACATAATTTCAAGGGCGTTTTACTATGGAGGTGTTAGCAGCGCTTGGTTTGGGTTGTGTGGGTAGGTGCCACTCTTTTAAGTTTCCTTTTTGCCACATCTCTCTTAAGTGCTTCCAATTTGCTTTAAGGGGTTCACAACCGCATTACCTCGGGAGTTTAATTCGCTTTGTGCATGTGCTTCAAGAGGCTTAAGTCATCTTTGGCACAGTATCTAATGCGTTTTTCAAGTACAATCTCAAAATTTTTCCACTTGTCTTACATTCCAGAGCAAAGTTATCGGCAATTTTGGGTAGATCTGCGGTAAAAATGTTCCCCTTAATATGCTGTCTACTTTGGTTTTATTTTGGGGGTAATGATGGAAGTAAAAGCCCTAACAGATTTTGAAACGTCAAGCAGTTCTGTAAATTGAACTCTTGCAGTAGAGAAGTGATGAAAATATCAAAATATGAGATTCCTCTCTCTAGTTACCGTGCAGATAGCGTAGGACGACTAAAAAGTAGTGGATAATGCATGTTTTTTTACTAGTAAGAGCTAGTACTGAAAAAGAATGTTTTTCAACTATAATGCCCCACTTTAAAGATTTCTTCCTTTTTATTTTAGTCTGGCTGCCGAATTTTGCTGAATCTACTGTGTCTCCCTGAGGTAAAGTGTCTGACTTCTTCCAATTCCTGTCCCATCTGCTATTATGATCTCTCAACATCTGAAGGCAGTACTGATGGTGAAGTTTCCTCACACGATCTCTGTGATGTTTACCACGGTCTCACTCGACTGCGTCGTTGTTTGGAGGTCTCAGAAACTAACGGTGGCCGATCTATTGAACAGTGGATCCGTGATATTGATGCTTTCATTGTTGACGCTTGTGCCAAATTCGACGATTTAGGGGTAAATTAAAATTGAGCTAAAAATTTTCATTTTGGCGTGCATTTTTCAAGCTTGCTTAGGGAGAGTAAGCTCCGGTTTTTTACGAAGAGATATCATGGGGCCTAATTTGTCTCCTAAAGAAGTATGCACAAATTCCTAAAACCTTACGAATTTAAATCATTTTACCCGCCTTATCCGTATTTAGAGTATACTTTTGTTTCAGTCACTTTTCCTTGTTTCCAGTCAGGTTTGTGTGTTCGCCTAAATATGATTTATACTTTAGGAAATTTGTGCAATCTGATTGCGACAGACGGGACTGGGCTATTTTTAGTAAACACTTGTTCAGAACAAAGTTAGCAAATTCTACACCTTATTCTCTAGTCAAATACGCTGTGACTTGCATTAACAGAATGCCCAATTTAAGTGTTACTACGCGAGATCCTCACTTGATCCGATTCTAGAGGTGTGATTAAAGTGAACATCATGGCTAGCAATCGATTCTCAATGTTAACTAAGGTAAATCGTAGGAATTGAACTTAACTCCGCATTTCGGCGTATATTTAACACTGAGAGTTGTTAAAGTGACCAAAAATTAGATGAGACGGGCGTTTCTTGAAAGCACTATTCGCAAAAGAATTTTATCTCATTGTTTTGTTCTATGTAAAGTGAGTTTTGAAACAATTCGACTTTTAATAAATCATAATTTGAAGGTAAATCAACATACTTCTTTTTCAAGATTGTCATAAGAAGTCGATGATATCGGGTGCTTTTATGCAAACACCGCCTACGGTTTCATAACACTGACTCTGTGTTAAGTAGAATCACCTTAATTGCGTTGACGATGAAACCGATATGACAAGCCTATTACGTTGTCGCTGATTTTGAATCCAAAATTCCCCTAATGACTTCCAAGTCCATTATATCTTTGGCAAAGGCGTTATTACACTGGAGTCTCCCTCGTGAAAAACTCGAATCCTGTCTCCTTTGTGAACCAGAAATAATGGGTGGGAGGGGGGTGGGTAGGAGGCTGACTTGCCATTCAACTCATTTGGGTGGATAGAGGTTGAGTTTAGTGTCTAAACCTCTCTTTTTCTGACGAGGACTATAAACGCTGCGCCACTGACGCTTTTTGCGTATTTCCAAATGTTTCAAGTTAGTGAATGTAGTATCCTGAAAATAACAACTCTAATTGCAAACTATTTCCTCTTCAGAGTAGATAATAAGTGCAAATTAAGTTTAACTACATTGATTTCCCTATTTTTTTCAGATTCCATCGGTATCCACAACCTTTCGTGAGGCTGCAGGCGTTCTCCGTGATACACTCGACTCCTCTGTGTCGTCGCACTATCCTGCATTTTTCCAAGTCTAGGTGTTCAATCGATTTTGTCACATCTCACAACTCTCTGTATATAATCACCCATTTCTCATTCGTTTTCCCCCTTTACTCGCTACTATACTCACGAAATCATGAGTTATGTGTGGTTTTTAAAAATCAAAATATAGTACGATATCTTTTAATTTTACCTGCTTTCAATTTGTGTTGAAGTCATTCGTGTTCGGTTATGGAAACTAAACTAACTTTAGCTTGGTTTTAATTGCGGGGTTGATGAATTCGTATTTGGGATACTATCGGAATTCTAAATATCATTCATTGTTACTTACAGCGGATTGGCAATCTATGTTTGAAATCCTCTTCTATTTTTGGGTGTATTTTGAAATCATGTACCCTTTTATTTAAAATCAATAAATGATTGTGTTCAATCTCTCCAACGTCTGATTGCTGACACAGAATTACTGGGGGGGGGGGGGGGGGGGTGTAATCTTCACTGGGACAGAGGATTTGTAGATTGTTTTTTTCTTTATTAATGGAAATTGTAAAAATTTATTCATTTATATCAAATGGCAGGCGTTTTGATAGTTATCGTTAGCCTTTTAGTTGATTCCAGGCTTCACAGGGGGGAAGGAACATCAAAGCGAAAAAGTCGAGAGGGTGGGGGAACAGAAGAGTGTTTCAAAGACGAAGGCAGAGAAAAGACGAGGTGAGTACTGTGAAAGTAGTCAAATATGACATACAGTGAGGTGATGGTAGTTTGAAGTGAGAAGTCAACTGCCAGTTAAGAGACTTTTTTGCCGTATGAGTATACGTTGCCCAGGGTGCACAACGTGGAGGTAAGTCTATGGCACACAACCCGATAAAGTAAAAATAAGAAGGCTTCAAAGTGATGAAGGCAATTCAGACAGAAAAGTCTATTCGGACTGATTTTATGACGGGGAAGCGGTGCGCTGCTGCACCATGTTGTCCTAATGTTGGGGATAATAAATCTCGGTCCAAAAGGAGGGTTAATTGGGGTCAAATGAGCTGTCCAAGTTGGTATTAATGTATCGGCTAACTGGAAGTTTAAAACAAGCAAGCTGTTTCAAGCGAGAGTGTTAGTTTTATTTCACATTCTCTATTTTAACTCCGACAAATGAGGTCAGTGTCCTTTGCGTCCTGCTGCAGATCTAAGGCATAAACTATTTCAATTTCTGATGTGCTTCTTTAAATTGAACCAAGGAATGTAATACTTTGAAGGCCTGGCTAATGTAGAGGTGTTAGGAAGCCTAATAGAATATGTTCGTTTTACTGCGGGAAATGTCACAATCCTCATCTCTCATTTACTAGATTGTCCTTGGATTTCCTTTCTTGCACCCCCATTTGTAAGGACATCTGTGGAAAAGATGATTGACTGCAATCATTGGCTAATCACCAAACCAATTATTGACTACATATTCTCAGCCTATAGAAGTGTAGCGGATTCTCTAACATCTAGCTAGACTCCCAGAACTAGCTAAGCTATAGCCCAGCTATGAAAGGAAACTCATCTAGCTAGACTCCCAGAACCAACTAAGCTATAGCCCACATCTAGCTAGACTCCCAGAACCAGCTAAGCTATACCCCAGCTACAGCTAGACTCCCAGAACTAGCTAAGCTATAGCCCAGCTATGAAAGGAAACAGACGTCTAGCACGGAGCACGTTTTTTCAGTAAGTATATTGTGGATAAGGGGTGTGCGATAGACTTACTTCCACGTGGTGCACCCTGGGCAACGTATATTCATACGGCAAAAAAGTCTATTAACCGGCAGTTGACTTCTGACTTCAAACTATCCTCACCCCATTGTATGCCATATTCGACTACTTCCACAGTACTCACCTCACCTTTTTTCTACCTTCGTCTTTGAAGCACTCTTCTGTTCTCCCCCCCCCCCG